TTTATTGATTAGGTGAAGTGAAATTGAATTGAATAAATCTTTTTTTCCCCGCAGTATGTGTCCAGCATCTTGAAGTCAGAAACGATTCCTTTGAATCTACCGTCGGTGGTCAGAGTGCATTGAGCTGTCAAACCAATACTAGTAACTTCAATCTGACATCATCATCATCACTCTTCTTCATCACATCTTACCTGGATGGGAGAGGAAATGAAAATACGAGTGCTTCGTGGAAAAATGCCGGAGTATTACATTTGGCTAGATACAAGCTTGATTCAAACGTAAACTCGCTGTCCTGCTGTGTGTCAAAGACCTCTCTATGCCCAGGAGTTTGCTCAGAAGAATACTTCAACGTACTTAATGGTAAGGAATAAAAAACGAATTGTCTACATGTACTTCAACCACTTCTACCGATAACGTAAAATACTACATGAAAAGAACTAAGTTTCAACTGTTACATGATAGAAACTTAATTATGCTGGTATGTATTGTATATCATTGAAATCTCTTAGTCGAAAACTTAATTTCAGAAATTGCAATGAATATGGCCACAGCATAATTCGATTAAATGCTGACAAAGAAAAGAAACCCACATCTTTCTGTCTTTTTATATAGGTTCAACATATCTAGCATCTACAGACCATCCTGAAATAACAACCTTGGCTTATACCGACAGATTTCCAAGTAAGATGGATTCAAAAATTATTTATTTCCAGTCGGATAATTTGCAAAAATTAAATGAGAAAGAATGTTTTCTCATGGATGGTCCTTTAAGAGTTGTTTAACTATGTTGTTTTGATATTTTGTATATACATATTCTTTTGGGGTGCGAAATATCCGGGATTCTTATTCTGAATGGGCTCCCCAAAATTATTGAAAGCTAGGTAACTTTCCGTTTCTTCCAGATTTATATGTACATTTATGATATATCACTTATTTGCTAGAAAAATATTTAATTTAGAAATAATTTGGATGAGGTAATTTGAAAATCTGTAAGTGTAAATTTGCAATTCTTTTTAAAATATCAGGTTTAAATGTACATGGATCGTGTTTAGTTTAGATGATTGCTCCCTGACCATTAAATGATGACACATATAATGTGGTCTGCAAATCAACTGAAAATGTTACATTTAAAATATTAATTTCATATGTACGTATATGAATACGTATACGTATCAATGAATTATGTTTGTATTTTGAGGCATGAGTATACATAAGTACTTGAATATTTTAGCAATATGGTATTTATTAGAGTTACTTAAATGATATTTGAATTATTACATAATGTACCTGCTCTCACTTAACCTTTAGAAATAAGTTAACCTTCCCCGGTATGCTCTCACGAATATGTATTTAGGAAACTCGGCGTAATAGTTATTATTTCGATGATAACAGAATGGATGTCTTTTACAACGATATCAGCACGCACAGCATTTAACAATATACACAATCACCCATGTACTCAATCTCTTTATGCTGATGCTCTTCTTAATAAAATAAATCCTTCTCTCTAGAAATGGTGTCACTTGCCTTGTACGCTGTAGGAGCCACAGTATTTCTCGTCATGATTGTCTTTGTCTTCATATTCGTCTTTCAGAGATGGAGAAAAAAGTACAATGGTAACAGTTTTTTCAATATAAAATACAAACAAATTATTGTCAGAATTCCGTGACAGGTTGAAAATGTTAGCTAACCAGGACACCATCAACGGCATGATGTGGTTGTCGGAATATAAGAGATTCAAACTAAATGGCCCGAATTCATAAAGGAGGTCTGTCGACAAACCTCCTTTTGTTTCGACAAACCTCCTTTTGTTTTTTACAAACCAGCTTTGTAAAAAAACTCGTCAAAACGCGTCATATGACGTATATAAACCTCGGTTTTTCGACAAACCTCCTTTGTGAATTCGGGCCATAGAGTACATTGGTGTGTTCAATTTGAATGTTATTTTATATGTTCAAGTCCAAGATTACAAGCATTGACAATGCTGGGTGACTACACAAGGGAAACATGAATTATATATAATCAATGCAACCATGACAAATTGAGTGGATTGTTTACATTTTCTTATAAGCTAACCAAATGTTTACACACCGTTAGGTTGGGAGAGATGAATGTCCTTTGTTTTAAATAAAGGTGGCTCAAAGTTGCCATATATGTTCACATTTAAATAAATCTGTCAATAGAGGAGGAGCTGATTTAAGGGACTAAAAGGGAAGAGGAGGGGAATATGAGGAAACAGCATCTCGTTAAAACAGATCAAGAATCTCAGAATACTTAGTTAATTTTTGGATAATATAACATGATCTACTGCATTACAGTTAGATGTTCGTATTTTCATAACTTTTATAAATAATATGCATTTTTATATTTTGTAAAAATCTCTGTCAGTCTAGATAAGATTAATAATTTGTATGTTATTTCTGTCTTAGTGGCCACTTCTCTTTTAGGGTCACCTGTCTATATATGCCATGTATTTGAGGTATTTGTGGGTGTATAATGCTTACAGGAAGAGTTCCTGGAGAACTCGACAACATTCAAGGACCAGGTACGCAACCAACGGGGAATGACCGAGGAGCTCTGCCCCCTATCCCAACCATTACAGCTGACCCATCTATTCCCCATTTACCCGTTCCATCCCACGTGGCTCAAACCAATCGCCGTATGACTCAGAGAAGCCAGGACCGGATTCCGCTTCAGTCACTCGTGTCTCCTGTGGATGACACCCTCGAGAGAGATCAGACCAGGACCTTGGGAGCCAGGTCCAACGCTGGTAAAAGGGTCAAAACGGTAATTTTTGTTAATTCTTTTTTTCATCAATACATAAAAATGTTGTTTTTATCTAAAATATTTATTTTCTATGGAATTAAAACCCCCCAAAATGGTTGTCAAGTACTCGTTAAAAAACACAAAAAACGAATGAATTGAAATATGGGCGAAAAGGATATGCCATTTTTGTTTTGCAAGACACTTTCGAAATTTATTTTATATTGATAATATATTTTCCTTTTGGTCTTGATACCACATAACGCACTAGATTTTTATCTTTATTTCATGTAATGTCCAAATCGTTCTTGATACATTTGAAAATATTTACAGGTTCCGGTGAATCCTGATGTTGAGTATGCTGTTGTAAACAAAAAGGCGCGATCAGGAAAATGCCGAGCAGACAAACACAAACTAGATCCAGATATCTCTTTAGCTTTGGTAAGTAGTATAAACATTACTACCTAATGAAACCTGACTACAATCTTTCTTTTCGTAAGTTTTTGCGGCAAGGCTTTACGAGTGCTCTATCGAAATATAATACTAGGTAATGTAATCAATACTCATATTTTTGGGCCATGGAGATCATTTTCATACTGTAAACTTAACACCACTGGTTATTTACACACACATAATACCTCCTTATATACAACATTATATATATATTTACATACATGCATATAATTATATATATGATTAATTTGTTGCGTGAGCATCTAAGATCTTCTCTCTCTCTCTCTCTCTCTCTTTATATATATATATATATTTTAGAAACACTTTCTCTCTCTATCTGTATTATGGCTTTTTCCTTCTCCATCAGAGAGAGGGAAAGATGAAAATATGCTTCACGTAACAATGTTGAAATTGAAGGGAAAAAAACACAGCAACAAATAAACAGACAAACTACATGATATTTAGTTCATACATTGGCGGTCGTACTCGGCCATATAATAAGATATTAAACCAAGCTATTTGAATGCATGTAGCCAACTTTCAACGTTGTAAGGAATCTTAGACAAAAAAAGACAGAAATGCATATTGTTTTTGATTGTGTACTTTAATCCAGAAGGTGATGGGGTATCACATCATACCATACTCTTTTCATTTCTGTAGAGAGGGCCTCTGGATCCGTCAGTCGAGTATGCTACAGTCGATAAACAACGAAACATTACTTCAAATCTTGGTTCATCATCTGCTCAGGTATTAATAGGCAACACATTTTATTTTGATATATCCTATACCTTAGAAACTCTCTATTTACAGGATGCTTTCACAATGCACACACTTGATCGAATATCTTTCTATTTACACGTTTTTAAAATAATCATTTCAAGAGCCAGTTTCTCCTTAGCACTTGAAATCCTCATTGAAATTCCCCATCAAACTAGTTCTCTTACTTCTCTCTTCTGTATTCCCCATCGAACTTGTTCTCTTTTTTAAAATCTCTTCTGTGTGCATATTGTGTACACCATGTCCATGAACAAACACGCAGACGGACACGTTCACCTTCTCGTATTATTCATAAAATGCACGAAAGATGAAACATGTTTGTATTCTACATATAGCATTTATATTGAATGTGCTTCATCATACAATGTTAGTTTAATGTTTTACCATTAATTTACTTCGGTTGACCTGTTTGTACCCACATGTCGCCTTTTTTAATTTTTATTTCTTATGTTTCCGATATTAAAAAAGAAGATGAATCGAATACGCATGATTTTTTCCATTCTTTTTTTTCCTTTGTTATTTTCCCCTTTTATTTTCTTTTTCTTTTTTCTGTTTTCGTTTCTTCTTTTTTCTTTCTTCAATTCTTCTGTTTTGATTAATGAATACATAAACATTTTGCTTTTTACAGGATTTCTTTTTTACATACAATTTCGAATTAATTCATGATATGGTTATATATTTTGTTTCCTAATGCATTTGATTAACATCAACAGCTTAGTTTTATTTTATATGTTATCTTGAAATTTCATTTGATATTATTTTTATTTGAGGATTTTAGTGGTATTTTGAGTGGGTTATATAATTGATTTGAACTACATTCATATGCTTTGAGCCGAATGCAGAGATGTCACTAAAAAGTACGATTTCTTTACAAAAGCTTCGTGCAAAAGGTTTTATTTTGAAGAAGATCAATATTTCCTACATACATGTCAATCGCGCTCTTTATGTTATTCTTTCATTCAAATCTCTACCTTTATTTACTGAAATAGAAATCTGTACAAAGAAACAGTATTTTAGTTTAAGGGGGTGAAATCATATTGGATTCCCAGAAGTAACTGCTATAATACAGACATTAATGGGTAGGGTGTGTATTATAATAACATCCTCTGGACCGACGACGGGAGTTATAGTTTCCCAGTGCCAGTACTTATTATCTTAACACTTTCATATCATATCGAAACAGACAGGACAGGCTGTACAACCAGAACAGTCACTAAGAAAGAAGATTGGAAGTGGAGGAAATATACCGCATGTGTACACTGCATCAGCAAGTGGACTGGTAACCATAGTATTTATATCTCCTATGATGATTTAGAGTAGGACAAGCACAGGACTTTAAGGACTTAATCAACTATTTAAGCAATTAATAAATTAACACAAATCTTTGGTGTTTCCATGCATTAAAGGTATTTTAATGTAATATCTGAAATTCATCCTGATTTTCAAAAACATTTTTAATGACATTAAAATGAAAATACCAAGAATCCAAGCACCACATGTTTTTAGTGTGATGTTGGAGGTAATTTAGAAAGCAAAATACAATTGTTTCGCACAGTTAATTTTGTACAAATATTGCCTAATTTGAAAGAAAGCTAACATCAAGTTAACAAAAACTTAAAGTTAATAACGAAATTGCCCCTGCGTAAAATGTTGAAATGTTTTAAAGAGAAAATAACCCTGTATCATATGACTATAATATATTTTCTCTCAAGAAGTTCTTTAATATTTTGTCTGTTTTTCTGTAGTTGCCATGATGTTCAGACGTTGTTCAAATTTGTTAAGTTTAGTTAGTTGTGTTAAGTGCCAGGGACAGTCACCTGTGTTCGATAAGTTATGAAAGGCTTGAAATACTCAAGGTAAAGCTTTCGTTTGTTTTATTGTTGACATATTCTTGCACGAAACTGATCACATTTCATTTGTTTATTTCTTAATCTAATAATGAAGGCCGAGTATGCAGTTGTAGACACAACTAGGGTAGAGAGAAAGAAAGGTCAACCAAGAGCTCACCAAAGGAATATGGTCAGTGTTAAGAGTTCACCTTTTTCCCGTTTTTAGTACATGTACTTTTGTAAGACCTTAATTTATTGGTTGTTTAACATTATTTTGTACGAGCGGTTATCTTCGATAAGATCTATTTTCAGGATACTACTCGACATTATGTCATAAATATGCAACCTGATCACTTTACATTCGTGCATCTCCCATCAAGAATACAGGTCTCGTTCATGTCCCCAACTCGTAGATACCCACGAATTTGGAATAACCTACCCTTCTCACTCAGGGATGCGGTTGTCCTTGTCTCGCTTTCCTCTTTTCTTAAACAACTAAAATCTTATTTTGAATAAATTATAAACACATGTTACAAACATCAGAAGTTGATGTCTAGATATGATTATAATTTAATATATAATTTGAATATTAGGAAATTAATTAGTATTTTCTGCATTATAATTGTTTCTATCACACATCTCAAGTTTTATTCTCCCAAATCTTTCTGAAGTGCAACATAATAATTATTATACAACAACTACGTGGATCCTTGTAATTTGATTGGAGGTTTGTTGGTCACATGATATTCAATGAATGTTCTATTGCACGGGCGTGCATTTTTGGTTATATTCGCCTTGCATTTTTGGTGATATGCAGACTGTGTACCTCTGCCATGCGCGTATCCCTGCGTGTATCTGACGCGAAGGCAATCTGAATGTAATCGAGAAGGCTTGACTCCAACTTTAATTTATGTTTAATATAAGGAGTAAAGCATAATTTGTTGATTTAACGTTCTATTAGATCTTCTTCGATGTTGTATAAAAACAAATAATGAATGTTTTTCATTCGTTCAATAGTGCGAATATTTTCATTCGTTGAAAGATTAACGTTAATTCTATTCAAATCGGCTGACGCCTCGTTGAATAGAATGTTAATCTTATAACTCATGAAAATATTCGCACTATTGAACTCATAACCATTCATTATTTGCATATTATTCAATTCCAATTTCTGTTATTTACATTTCTTGTTTGCTTCACCTAGACAGGCATACCAGTGATACCCCATATATCATATTGCAATTTACCAAGCTTAAGCTGATGCATTGTCACCAATAAGTTGTTGTTGTTGTCTGTTTTTAATCTGATTATGTGTAATATTTTAGGCATCCCCGGGTGCATTTCCTGGAACCGGAAGAAATGAGTTACGGGTTATAGGAATTTCGCATTCCCTTTTTTTATTTTTTTTATTCCAGGCAACTTCCAGGTGCAGCAGGGAAGGGCATTTTTTCTTTCATACAATACTGTGTATCCTATGTTGCCTTTCTATTGTACCTTGTATTGTATGTGTGAAATGCCAAACAGATAACAATAAAGATGTTTAAGTTAATCGATATCCTAAAAGCGGAAAATATAAAGATGGAAATTGTTTGTTTATAAGAATACCTTATTCTACGTTATCTTGAAAACTTCCATATAAGGCGTCAAATGAAGGAAGCATTGCTTTTTATACCACAATGTTTTTGCAAATTCCCCATTTCCGTTCTTGAAAAGCTCCATGGCAACCCTGTTAATTACACTGATATAGAGCAACTTTTTACTTTAAACGGTTATAAAATCTGAAGCTTTTAAAATTTGCATTCAACGATAAACACAAAGTGGCACAGGATAATTTCTGTAACATGATAAGCGCATTTTATACCGGAACCATTAAATACACTTTGAAATTGAAATTGAAAGTAGTGAATGGTAAAGCAGGAAATCAGCAATTAATTTACTGGTAATTATATATATATTTATTTCTCTATTGTTTACAGGCTTACCATAACCCGCAAGTAGAGTATGCTGTAGTTGACAAGACGAAAAAGAGCCGACGAGAGAAATAATATGAAGAACAGTATACAAGATTTTAAAGAAGAGGTTTATATGTTTCATTTGACAATTACATTTATATTATTTTGTGTATGTTTTATTGTAAAACAAAATTGCAATATACCTTCTCAACCGGTTAGCTAAAAAAACGTTATTTTTAGACCAAATATAATTAACAGGGTTATTAAACATTGGTCCGTGTGTATATCAATTCAGATTAAACAAACTAATTCACACTTCGTTAAAAAAGGAATCAAATGACCGAAGTATTGCTTTTTATACCACAATGTTTTTGAAAATTCCCCAGTTCCGTTCTTAAAAAGCTCCATGGCAACCCTGTTAATTACACTGATATAGTACAACGTTTTACTATAAATGGTTTTAAAATCTGAAGCTTTCAGAATTTGCATTCAACAATAATACAAAGTGGCACAGGAGAATTTCTGTAACATGATAAGAGCAATTTTACCGGAACCATTAAATGCACTTTGAAATTGAAATTGAAAGTAGTGAATGGGAACTCAGCGATTAATTTACTGGTAATTATATATTTTTTTTTCTGTATTGATTAATGGCTTAGCTAAAAAAAAGGTTATATTTAGGCCAAATATAATTAACAGGGTTATTAAACATTGGTCCGTGTACATATCGATTAAGATTAAACAAACTAATTCACATCAACTGTTATTTCTTTATATTTGGAGAAGAAAAACTGTTAAAAAATGTATCGTTGGCGCAGAATTTAATTTGTATTATCTAAATAAGTGCACATAGAACTTACCATTGCGAAAATCATCTATTTCATATTCTGTGAATAATATTCTATATTCTATTCATATTTAATGTTTTAGAGCAGCGGAGTGTCATACGTTGATGAATAGTATACAGGGGCTATCGCGATTTGATTAAGAGTCGAAAGTTTGAGATGCGTGACAAACTAATATATAAAAGTGATCTTGGAATATCGCTCACCCAACAAATAAAATACGACTATCAGAGACGATATTGGTTATCAAAAGGGAAAGGGAACAAGCAGGCGATGATAATTACAAGTTATTGTATTAAACCCCTCTCGTTACTTACTAGAACAAATCCTAAATCAAGGTTAGACAAATCCTGGTGGCGAAGTCGATGTTGGTATACATTTAGTTTGTAATCAACAGTTATGCTAAATCAATCCAATATAGTAAGTACTATTAAAAGTTTAGTAAACCAAACCTTATCAATAATATTGTACAAAGTTTGTTTTAAAGAAGCATATATGTTTATAAATAATGATAGGTATTTAGATACAATTATACGAATATGTGCATTGATATCGAAATGTTTCGGTAATTTGTTTATAATCTTGAATTTCTCCTATTCAAGACCATGTTAATATTTCGGTGAGAGATTGTTTTATATCATGCAATATTTCGATTTCGAATGGGTGAAGAACATTTTGTCGAAAACAGTAATGCAATTTTTGTTACGATGGTTCTTGAAAATATTAACGGATTAATAATGAGTGGAAGAAAATAAAGTATCAAGGTATGTGATAATGTATGTATGTATAACAAATAAATAAGAATACAAATACTGATGTGTATGGTATGATAATTACGTCGCACGGATAACTGTTTTACTCCAGCAAATGAAAATAAAGCGCAGGGTGATAGTTATGCAATATACTATACTTGCCTTAACACTATTGTCATAATCAAAATGTAGGACTTAAATTTCAAATTTTGCGTCGGTATTGTTTCATTGTAAATAAGCTTGTATACAGTGTTCTATTTTATTTGATACGACTAAGGATTGCTTAGCACATATATTTATCGTTATTAATAAAGGCAACAGCTAAAACCGCATGTAATGTTTGCTCGTATGTGATAATGTATGTATGTATAACAAATAAATAAGAATACAAATACTGATGTGTATGGTATCATAATTACGTCGCACGGATAACTGTTTTACTCCAGCAAATGAAAATAAAGCGCAGGGTGATAGTTATGCAATATACTTTACTTGCCTTAACACTATTGTCATAATCAAAATGTAGGACTTAAATTTCAAATTTTGCGTCGGTATTGTTTCATTGTAAATAAGCTTGTATACAGTGTTCTACTTTATTTGATACGACTAAGGATTGCTTAGCACATATATTTATCTTTATTAATAAAGGCAACAGCTAAAACCGCATGTAATGTTTGCTCGTATGTGATAATGTATGTATGTATAACAAATAAATAAGAATACAAATACTGATGTGTATGGTATCATAATTACGTCGCACGGATAACTGTTTTACTCCAGCAAATGAAAATAAAGCGCAGGGTGATAGTTATGCAATATACTTTACTTGCCTTAACACTATTGTCATAATCAAAATGTAGGACTTAAATTTCAAATTTTGCGTCGGTATTGTTTCATTGTAAATAAGCTTGTATACAGTTTTCTTTTTTATTTGATACGACTAAGGATTGCTTAGCACATATATTTATCTTTATTAATAAAGGCAACAGCTAAAACCGCATGTAATGTTTGCTCGTGTTGATATGTCATCAGTTCTGCGGTCCCCTTATTAAAGTTGTCATTTGTATGAAAGTTACATTATTATTTACCGAGAAACAAGTTGAGAGAAGAGAAAAGAAGAAAGAGGAAGATAGAACGATAAAAAGAGAGGGAGAGAGAGAGAGAGAGAGAGAGATAGGGAGAGGAAGATAGAAAGTGAGAGAGAGAGAGAGAGAGAAATTATTTTTTCTTGCATGAGAGAAGTGAGGGAAGGCAATAGTGATGATATACTTATCAATCAGGCTAGACAGAGAGAGAGAGAGAGACAGACGAATAGCCGACATATATATTTATTTTCTTTAAGAAAAGGTCATGACGAAAAGTTAAAGAACATTCCCTTTTTGGCTATTTAAAAAGCAATTGGAAACGATACCGATCAAACTATATACTGTTCTCAGTTTGAATTAGGGCTTATTAAAAACGACTAATAAAGAAATGTACTTTAATGTTTGAACTTAAAAGTACACAATTCTAAACAACTTGTCTTCATTTTGAAATTTCTACTAGGCATTCTCTTGAATATCACGAACAAATCAAGAAAAAATGAAAAACACCTCATTTTGTTCAATAATTGTTAAAAAATAAACGGCAATGTATGCAACAAAATACACAACAATGTACACAAAAAAGGATCAAAATTCTCAGCTGTGTAAATATACCTCACAGCATCATCAGAAGGACATATGTAATTAGCAGAACATTTTCATGTCCTGGTTTATATATCTTTTTTCGCGCGACAAAGTTTGGCCCGCCATTGATTTTCACACCGGAAATAGAGGGGGGGGGTGGCGCTTTCAAAAAGAGAGAGAGAGATAGAGAGAGAGAGAGAGAGAGGGGGGGGGGGTGTTGCGGTGGATATAACACTCCCTGAATCTTTATGATCAATCATATTTACGCCAACGTTGGGTTATATTAATCACATTATCATGAACGCGTTTAAAATCTAACCACGGCCATTACAAAAAATGCAGCCCATTTTATTCCATTTAAATACCTAAATTAACACAAATTGTATACTTTCAATATGGTTCGTAAGAACTTTTTAAATATCTCGTAAAATATATGTTACTACATTTGCTCTACTTCTGCTCTTTAGCAGCCAGGGATCGATGATATCTCTTCCGAAAATGACGAGCTATCCATTATGCTATTAACAAAGAAATAGGAGAAAGTAGTAATTTATGGACAGATTTATATGAATTTGCTGAAGTGGGCTATTTCCAGCTTCCCATGAGTGGGTTTCGTTGACTTGGTTAAAAAAAACTACAAAACTGAGAGAAAAAGCAAAACATGATAACAAACTGCCATAATGTTAAACGAAGAAATTGGAAATCCCCCTCCCCCCCCCCCCCCCCCCCAAGAGAGTAAGGGCTAAACCGCGATATGCGCAGTAACTCTGCTGTTTATCAGGTTAAACATAACCCAGAAACGATTGAGTTGGCAAGGAAGGTATTCATTTCATACAAATATGAAGGGTAGATTTCTTTACCAACTTTTCAAACTGGTGAAAATGGTCCATAGGTGTGTGTTAATATATTGCTGGAAATATTCTGTCTTCCTTTTGGAAAACAATCCATTTTCAACAATCAAATAACTCATCGATGAAATTATCATTTGATCTGAAATTCCATTATGTTAATGTAAATTTAATTAAACACTTGAAAGTCATTAGAGTTTGAATGAAGTTTATGTGTTTCTTTTCTTGACATTGAGGTCATTAGTCTTTCTTATGGGGGGGGGGTCTGTCAGATGACAGAGGGCACTTACTTTTCCCCAGAGGGTCTTGCATCCCCTTTAGTCATTTTGTCATTTCTATAGAATGTTTGTAATGTACAGCCCAGGGGCGGATCCACGTAGCGATTATTCCGCCCCCCCCCCCATGGCCCCCTAAAACGATTTTTAAAAAATAGGATAATAACGTAAAGTTAACCTTAAAAACAAAAAAACAAAGCCCCCGCTTATTCACCGGCTGACTGAGTCGGCGCAAAATATTTCCTGAAAAATTGAACCAAAAAAAAAAGCGCCTCTTACCCCCCCCCCCCCCCGCTTATTCACCGGTGGTTGAGTTGCACAACTAATATTTTCTCATGAATTGCCCCCCCCCCCCCCCCCCTCTTCCCGCCGGCTGGATCCGCCACTGGTACAGCCTTACGTCTTTTGTCCACGTGTCTTCAAGTAAAAAAAAAATACAAACAAAATACTCAGTAACCCATCCTGCTGAGGGTTTTATCAATTCATCCCCCAATATCAACTTAATAGAGAATAATGGGCGGAGCATTAAACACAACACTAGATTCCGAGCAGTTCCGAGAAGATATTAAACGAAAAATATTTGGTATTTATTTTGTTCTTGCAGTTGAAAATGTGCGCACAAATCACTTCGCGACACCAGCGCACAGTGGGCCAGAGAGCAACCAAAGTGCGCCAAACTCATTTTGGGGGATTTTTTTTCTCATAAATCCAGAGGAAA